GTATTTCTCATATGATGATTAACAAGCAATAAAATTGTATAAATGTGGTTCGTTAATGTTGATATTATAGAGTAAGTATGAAACCTCAATGTTTTGGTGCTGAGAAGGAAAAGAGGAAGATGAAAGTTTGCCTTTATTTTTGAGAGAGAAAACTAATTTAAAATTTTCTTAGTTATAATGCATGTATGATACTTACTTTGATAATTATTTTTGCCTATAAGTCCTTATCCAAGATAAAAAGAACATTTCATTGAAATTTCTCTAACATTTTTATTACAAAATTATACGATATTATCTAGAAAGTTTTCAATCGTCAAATTCGCTGAAATAAAAAATGGACAACGAATTAATTGCTCCAATCTCTGTGACGTCATTGTCGTAAGTGAATAATAAAGAAAAAAGAAAGAATAAGAAACGATTTATTCATAAACCAGTTACAGGTATGTAAGTAAGTAAGAATTAAGTACTTATCATCACAGAATGGTTGTAAACAAAATCTCACCTATTGAGCTCGTCTATGTACTCGTAGTAACGGGACACAATGTGACTGTGTGCAAACAATTAAATAATGTAATTTGCATTAAAACGATAATCGCTCTTACAATAGGCCACTTCTATTGCAACTCCGCTGTCGAACATTGACATCATTGTTAATGTACAAATTTAAATGAAAATAATTAGCTCTTAAAGTTGCCATGGAGCATGAGAAATTGGGTAACGTGTGATCCAGTGATCCACGTCCGACCATGCCCTCTCCAGCCGCTCATGCACGGATGGAAAAAAGTAATAAAAGCGCAGGCCCTTATTTTAAGATTGAAATTGAATTAAAATATTATTACTTACGGTTGTGACGTCTCATGAAAGATCTCTTGTGGCCCATCTGAGTATTCATCTTCTACTACACCGCGGTTCATTAGATGTGGGTATCTGTGCTGTCTGATTGAACAGAGACGATTTATTTTATAAGCTAATTAAAAAAAATAAAATATTTAACCCCTCGAGTGTGCTTATCACCCGGTGGATCATAAGAAAAAATGCTCCATGCTGCTTTCTCTTTTATAAAATCTATTATTAATGTTTTGTTTTTATTATGACTGTATTTGTTTTATTTCTATTGTAATGATCCTTGTTTTCGTGTGCCAATGGCCAAATAAATGCATTTTTTTTCTTTCTTTCTCCAAATGTCACGTGTGCACCCGTTGGATCATAAGGAACGCGGACGCTCGACGGGTTAAGTGACTAACCTTTATTACTGCCTTACATTCTTTTATAACTTCTATTTCTTATATTTCATTCTTTATTCTAACACGTCCAAACCATATTAGCTATCGATTTTTTTTAAAATATTGTGTGTCGTGCAATGTTGCTCACGAATATATGTCTCTAGCGTGGCTTGAGTAACTTGGTCTGGTTACCTCGTCAAACATCATATGAGTAAACCGTAACATAAAAAAATAAAACATTGATCAGTACTACTGAGGCCCGTGGCTGGTAACGTGGCGGCAGTTGTGAATTGCCATGATACCGTGGATACATGCATTCGAACAAAAATATGTCCCGTAATTTCTAGCATTGTTTAGAGTATTTGCGACAATTTGAACTCTATTATTTTCATCATAATTTTCACTGAATTCAAATGTAAGAATAAGAAAATTTTAATTCACATAAACAAAAATAAAGCAATTACGCAAAATTGGATTCTTTCCTTCATTAAAAATAAATAATTGTTAAGACTGTTCAATACAATAAAATATTAAAAATAATCACACTTTTAAGAAATAAGTATGCTGTTTGGCGCTAAAAAACGTGACGTTACGAAAACTGTCGTTTTTGACAGTTCGAAAAAAGTATTGCATATGACTAGTTGGTAAGTATCCAATTCTTGTTTCATACTTTTTAGAAATGATTTTTTTTGTGTAGTACAAAAAATAATTTTTTTTTTCAGTTGATTTTAGTAACTTAGTCGATTTTTTATTTTTATAAATGTTTTGTTTTCCTTTAGGTGTAATAAGAGGTTAAGTTGCTTACTGAGGTTGGCGACGAACTAAGTGTGGCGGTAGCTGCGCAGGAAGAGGGCGTTGGTTGGAGCTGTATTTGACAAATAGACTTTGTAGTATTTTTGGTTTTTGACCTACATCAGGGGTAATTAGATAAGGGTTCGTCTGATTAGGTTAGGTTACTTACTAGGGTTCGATTTCTCGTTGATGAACTAAGTGTGGCGGTAGCTGCCCAGGAAGAGGGCGCTGGTTGGAGCTGTATTTGACAAATAGACTTTGTTGTATTTTTGTTTTTTGACCTACATCAGAGGTAATTAGATAAGGGTTCGTCTGATTAGGTTAGGTTACTTACTAGGGTTCGATTTCTCGTTGATGAACTAAGTGTGGCGGTAGCTGCCCAGGAAGAGGGCGCTGGTTGGAGCTGTATTTGACAAATAGACTTTGTTGTATTTTTGTTTTTTGACCTACATCAGAGGTAATTAGATAAGGGTTCGTCTGATTAGGTTAGGTTACTTACTAGGGTTCGATTTCTCGTTGATGAACTAAGTGTGGCGGTAGCTGCCCAGGAAGAGGGCGCTGGTTGGAGCTGTATTTGACAAATAGACTTTGTAGTATTTTTGGTTTTTGACCTACATCAGAGTTAATTAGATAAGGATTCGTCAGATTAGGTTAGGTTACTTACTAGGGTGCGAAAAAAATAAAATAAAAAAAAGGTTACTTACTGGGGTTCGATTTCTCGTTGATGAACTAAGTGTGGTGGTAGCTGCCCAGGAAGAGGGCGCTTGTTGGAGCTGTATTTGACAAATAGACTTTGTAGTATTTTTGTTTTTTAACCTATATCAGCAGGGCCGTCTTTAAACTATTTGAGGCCCTGGGCATATTAGGATCATAGGATTAGGATCATTATTCATCTGATTAGGTTAGGTTACTTACTAGGGTTGGATTTCTCGTTGATGAACTAAGTGTGGCGGTAGCTGCCCAGGAAGAGGGCGCTGGTTGGAGCTGTATTTGACAAATAGACTTTGTAGTATTTTTGTTTTTTAACCTATATCAGCAGGGCCGTCTTTAAACTATTTGAGGCCCTGGGCATATTAGGATCATAGGATTAGGATCATTATTCATCTGATTAGGTTAGGTTACTTACTTGGGTTGGATTTCTCGTTGATGAACTAAGTGTGGCGGTAGCTGCCCAGGAAGAGGGCGCTGGTTGGAGCTGTATTTGACAAATAGACTTTGTAGTATTTTTGTTTTTTGACCTACATCAGAGGTAATTAGATAAGGGTTCGTCTGATTAGGTTAGGTTACTTACTGGGGTTCGATTTCTCGTTGATGAACTAAGTGTGGCGGTAGCTGCCCAGGAAGAGGGCGCTGGTTGGAGCTGTATTTGACAAATAGACTTTGTAGTATTTTTGTTTTTTGACCTACATCAGAGGTAATTAGATAAGGGTTCGTCTGATTAGGTTAGGTTACTTACTAGGGTTCGATTTCTCGTTGATGAACTAAGTGTGGCGGTAGCTGCCCAGGAAGGGGCGCTGGTTGGAGCTGTATTTGACAAATAGACTTTGTAGTATTTTTGTTTTTTGACCTACATCAGAGGTAATTAGATAAGGGTTTGTCTGATTAGGTTAGGTTACTTACTCGGGTTCGATTTCTCGTTGATGAACTAAGTGTGGCGGTAGCTGCCCAGGAAGAGGGCGCTGGTTGGAGCTGTATTTGACAAATAGACTTTGTAGTATTTTTGGTTTTTGACCTACATCAGACGTAATTAGATAAGGGTTCGTCTGATTAGGTTAGGTTACTTACTGGGGTTCGATTTCTCGTTGATGAACTAAGTGTGGCGGTAGCTGCCCAGGAAGAGGGCGCTGGTTGGAGCTGTATTTGACAAATAGACTTTGTAGTATTTTTGTTTTTTGACCTACATCAGAGGTAATTAGATAAGGGTTCGTCTGATTAGGTTAGGTTACTTACTGGGGTTCGATTTCTCGTTGATGAACTAAGTGTGGCGGTAGCTGCCCAGGAAGAGGGCGCTGGTTGGAGCTGTATTTGACAAATAGACTTTGTAGTATTTTTGTTTTTTGACCTACATCAGAGGTAATTAGATAAGGGTTCGTCAGATTAGGTTAGAATACTTACTGGGGTTCGATTTCTCGTTGATGAACTAAGTGTGGCGGTAGCTGCCCAGGAAGAGGGCGCTGGTTGGAGCTGTATTTGACAAATAGACTTTGTAGTATTTTTGGTTTTTGACCTACATCAGAGGTAATTAGATAAGGGTTCGTCTGATTAGGTTAGGTTACTTACTGGGGTTCGATTTCTCGTTGATGAACTAAGTGTGGCGGTAGCTGCCCAGGAAGAGGGCGCTGGTTGGAGCTGTATTTGACAAATAGACTTTGTAGTATTTTTGTTTTTTGACCTATATCAGCAGGGCCGTCTTTAAACTATTTGAGGCCCTGGGCATATTAGGATCATAGAATTAGGATCATTATTCATCTGATTAGGTTAGGTTACTTACTAGGGTTGGATTTCTCGTTGATGAACTAAGTGTGGCGGTAGCTGCCCAGGGCCTCTAGCCAAAAGCCACTTTAGCGCTTGTCTACAGTGAGAGTAGAAATCAAAATGTATGGGGATGACACTGACAAGTGTCAAAATTTACGTCAATTCCATATAATTTGGTTTTCTATTCTACATGTAGACAAGCGCTAAATGGCATTTGGCTAGAGGCCCAGGAAGAGGGCGCTGGTTGGAGCTGTATTTGACAAATAGACTTTGTAGTATTTTTGTTTTTTGACCTACATCAGGGGTAATTAGATAAGGGTTCGTCTGATTAGGTTAGGTTACTTACTAGGGTTCGATTTCTCGTTGATGAACTAAGTGTGGCGGTAGCTGCCCAGGAAGAGGGCGCTGGTTGGAGCTGTATTTGACAAATAGACTTTGTAGTATTTTTGTTTTTTGACCTACATCAGGGGTAATTAGATAAGGGTTCGTCTGATTAGGTTAGGTTACTTACTAGGGTTCGATTTCTCGTTGATTAACTAAGTGTGGCGGTAACTGTGCAAGAGGAGCGCGTGTGATGTGCTGATAACTGTGTTTAAATAGAGAGACATCTCAGTTGCAGTTCTTATTGCCGAATACCAGAGTAGAATAGATTTGCACCACCCGACCCATACTGGTTCCGGAAGTGTCATAAGAACTACACCTTTAACACGTTAAACGCCATGGCAGTCACCGGTGACCGACATTAGCGGAGGATTTGCCTTCAACAGTTTGTTATTGGCAGCCAAAGCCGTAAACAGAGACAGGACAGTAGCGCTTTCTGATGAAAATGTTTACTGTAATCCCCAACCCGCCTCTCAGTACCCTATGGTTAACCTCCTTATATGTAGAAGAGGCCCATGTCCAGCAGTGGACTGTTACAGGCTGTTAAAGATGATTAATTAAAAAAGTTCCTTACTGTATTGGACGCGGGCGCTGTTGGACTACGCGGGATTGACGTTGTGAGGGCATAACTGGATGAGAGGAACTTTGCGAATTCGTGTTGCCATGTCCAGAAACAGATATTTATGAACGTGCTATTAATAATATTTGTATAATATGCATTAATTCCGATTGAGTTTCGAAATTGGGTAGATTGATACACGAAAGTAAGAGTATTTAAAATGTGTTTATAGCCAATGATAACGAAGGCAAAAATTGCATCAAGGTCAGTGATGTCATCTATGCCAATAAATCAGTATTTGTATAGTAATGAACATTAAACGAAGCGGTGAAGTTTGGATGGTAAAAACGGCCTTATTGTCTATATGTATATGGACCGTACGTTGCTTTTTTATGGGATAAGCCGGTAAACGAGCAAATGGTTCACCTGATGTTAAGCAATCGGCGCCGCCCATGGACACCCGAAACACCAGAGGCGTTACAAGTGCGTACCGACCTTTTGGGAATTGGAAATTTTAGGATTGTGGTATTCGGGGATTGGGAAAACTGGGGAGGGTGGGTAATTGGGCCTCCGGTATTCTCACTCACACGATGAAACACAACGCAAGCGTTGTTTCACATCGGTTTTCTATGAGGCGGTGGTATTGCTCCGGTTGAGTGGGCCCATCGAGCCGAAGCATGGGTCTCCCACACTTAAAATGCTGCAGCAAATAGGCCTGTAGACCTTGAATAACTAGACGAGAACTACTTTTTTTAATAAACACTATTCCAACGTGAATTTATTGGTTTAAGTATTTGCATTTATAAGAATTTGAAATTATACAAAGTTGGATGTTAGGATGATATAAAAAATAAAAGTTTCCACTAACCTTAGATTATTGTCACTAGTATAGTTAGCGGGCGGGTACTTTGTGTATATTGTCTTCGATGATTGTCTTAAGAAGTTGCTGGTGACCGGGATGTGAGGCGTATATCCTACATTCATGCAACTTATGAATTCGAGAATAATACATAACGAAATTGTTATAATATACAGACTTGCAAGTTCCAAATTAATGGAAATTACCTAAATATCTAATGTAATTAAAAGCTAGACTTGTTAATCAGAAATTGCAATAGCATTGTGCAAGCCTGGTAATCGATGCTTACTCCTTCTTCGTCCAAAGAGAGACTGTTTAGTGAATGGTGGGTCTGTAAATTATTTTTTTTACAGAAAACGTTGCCCCACACTAGGATTTTCTCCTGTGTCGTGGGTGCGTTTACAAACATACAAGTTCACACACATTACACCCAGACCCGGAACAATAATCTGTGGATCACATAAAGAGTTGTTCCGTGCGGGAATCGAATCCGCGACACGTTGCGCGGCAGTCAGCTGCCAAACCACCGTGCCAACCGATTTTTGATATTTGTGTTTGTACTATGTAAAAAATTGCTACGTATATTATTAGTAATTTAAGGAACAACTTTCGCCTTACCTTCAACATCGTAGACCCTCGCTTTGTGACCAGAAAGAATTATATCCTGTAAGAACCAAAATATATTGGATGGATTTATATTGTCTTCTATTTCATCACCATCATCAATCTATATTATGTTCACTATAGCAAAAACCATAACAGTAAATGTGAATTAAATAAAATCGGCATGTTATAGGTCTGTTTTATTCAGATACTTAATAATTCTTTAACATTATACCTCTACACTATTCATATGTATGTATCTACATTAGGTAAACAGAATAACATTGGGCACACATTTCATACATTTCGGATTAATCTTATATTGTGAAAATATTTGAAAGTTCCCTAGTGGGTTTTCTATTGCCTAAACCTATGTATTAATTAAAGGGAAATTATATGTGCGGCAACAAAAGTTTTCTTTAGCACCTGCAACCTAGCGTCTTTTTTTATATGTGAGCGACGAGTTAATAGAACAGCTTCAATTATATTAATTCATCATCTTTACTATTCCAACAAAATATCAAGAAACCAGCGTCAATTTACGAGCTTAAATTAATATGACTCCGAGCTACCGATAAATATATTTACTTCTGATTTGATAACTCAGCGACTAATGTTGACTGACTGCACAGCAATTTTGGGCACCCCGAAACATTTGGTTAGGTTAGGTTAGAACTGCGATCCTCACAAGGCGCGAGGCGAGCGACCGTAGCGAGCGGTGCCGCGGTAGCGGCCGCCGAGCGTTATATCACTAACTGCTTAAATCTTTTCATACCATTTAGCCGTTTATATTAAAAATATTAGTTTAAATGTTGCGTCATATTAACAGTAGCTTGTTTTACAATATATGGTCGCTTATAAACCATTTATTAGACGCTAAAAGTTTGTCGCTGACCTATTAATTCAATAGACAACTAAATATATTTGCAGACGAGAATGACATTTTAAAGAAGCTGCCTCAATTAGCACCCTTAATTAAATATTTTAGCGAGCGTCGGGTACCTACTTAGTTTATATTTTTACTGTAGATTTTTGATAGCAAAAGATTTCGTATAAAGAACGTTCGCAATGCATTTTGTTTCCAACACTCAAACACAATGTTATAATAGCTTGTAGCAATTTTGTAGTAGTCGTTGAAGCATGACGTTTCGAACAATTTGCACTGAATTACACCATTTTACCGATTACAATATCTTGCTACTTATTTTCCTTGAAAATTGGTTATACTGTTATTTGTCAGTCTTGTTAATAGTACACAATAAACATCTGCTACGATGTATGCGTACCTCTTCGTAAAAGAATTCTGCGGCTTTGCCTATCAATTGTGAAGTTATGTGTATTTTCTACGGGTCTAGTCTGAAAAACTTATTAGATAGCTAAGGGCATTTAAGTAGTCCTTGATATTGGTTTTAAAACTGTTGTTGTCGTTTTGTAATTCAATTCAGTAAGTGCTTGATTGAGGGCCCTTAATAGTTTTCGTAGATGTAAAATTTTTTTTTTTTTTTTTTTTCTTAAAAAATTGTTTTTTTTTAACTCGTCGAGTATCGTATTTATAGACACAATTAAAGAACAATAGGTTGCGGTCACCGGTGACCGCTTGGTGTTTGACAATTTAAGGGGGGATAATCATCGAATGACTGCTCCCGCCTGGGTGAGGCGGGAGGGAATGCCAATCTCTTACTCACTAAAAACCACCCCGTTCCTTCTCCTGCACGTCGAGCCGGAGCCCCGGTAACCCGTTAGGTTCTCCGCGACATGTAAAGTCTACATTTGCAAGCGAAGTTTGGTGAAATTATCATTAAGTTCTTACCTCGTAAGGATAAGCAGAGCAGCAGATAATCAAGATAAAACAAGTCGCAGCCTGCACTATGCTTGTACTCTTCATTATTTCTACACTTCTTCAACTGCACTAACGACACACGCCGAGGATGTATTTATACGGAAGTCAGTAGCACCCAATTATATGCAACATTAACATATTATTGCAAATTTTGTTTTTCAAGTGTTAATATTGTAAGAACGATGTTTATATAAATATCAGTTACGCCTCAGTGTATCTAAAGTCGAAATTATAGTATTGTTTAATTGAAATTATTACTAAATTATATTACTTAAATGATACATTATGTTATTCATGGCAAGGCAAAAGTAAGCATATCTATTATAAGTATCGACCATGTTGAAATCGAATGACTTCGTAACTATGCATAGTAAATTTTAGTGTGCACTACACACAAAAATTTAGTTTTAAAATTTATAAAGAACACGTGTGAAGCAAAAGGGAGGACATCAAGCAAGTTCTAATTTCTGCAACACATTGTCGACTTTATTATATAAAGAAAAACAGTGCGAATGAATTATAGCTTAAACTATTTTTTACCGTCCGTAACTATCGAATGCTACCACGGGTATGCAAAGTGGTGGGTAAATGCGGTGTATATTTGTACACCAACATTATGTAAACATAACCTCATTACAGTTTAACCGTGTATTTAATGTCGACATCGATTATTTAATTCGGGTAATTTCATTGTAGGTTGCCATATTCTAAAATGCGAATCTCCTCCGAGCAATGGGCAGCAGGAAGATTGAATCTAATTGTGATTGTCTAGTCGTAAATAGGTAGTCGATTAGGCACCTCAGTAGTTAATCGTTAGTGCTAAGACCTTTTAGGACCAAGTAACTTTAATGGACTATTTAGTTATGTAAAGCTCAAGGAATACTTGACAAAAGTGCCTAGGAATATATGTTACAATGTAGAGACCTTATTTATATCGAAAATCTGTGTCGTATTTGCAATTTATTAAAAAAGCAGTTCCATTGCCTAGTTATTCATCACGTTTTTTGCTTGAATATCACAATAGCCAGAGGATTTTATGCACTATATGTATCTGAGTTCACAAGGCAAATGTAAATTGTACAATGTCACACAAATTGCAACATACCACGGAAATTGCTTGCATTACGCGCATCGAATCTTACACACAAGAAAAAATAGGCTTTACGTACATAAATTGATTCGGATATCAATAAGACCACAATGTTTATTAACCTTTTATTACGTTTTAATCGTTCATTCTTGATTTTTTTGTTTCTAAAAAACAAACTATGTCGACGTGATCGTTTTTTCTAAATAAAATATGTCTGATGTACAGTGCAGTTGTCAGATATTATCTCGAATCGTCCTTGTGAGACCGTCTGAAAACGTGTAAATAAGGTAAGAATAAATTAAATTGTTAAATCATCTCTCTTATATCTATCTACATAGATTTGCTGCTGTCCGGGCCTGATTTGTGAACAGACACGAGGAATATTCTTCTTTATTAAAGTCAGTCAAGGTCAAGGTCAAAGCATTATTTCAATTAATTATTAAGGATTAATGCTTAATTAGCCACTTTTGAAACGTCAAAAATTGAATTGTCTGTCCGTCTGTTTGTCAGTGAAGCTAGGCGCTCGTGGTGTAGTTTCGAATGGAGAAGAACGAGCAAGAAACTCCATCGTTACTCTTTTAACATTTTTTCACAGTCTCATTGATACATATTTGATACTTTACCTATTGTATATAGTTATGTATATGTGAGAAAGATGTAACGAAATACAATGTCAAAATTTAATGGAACTCTGGAATCAACTCTTGAAATAAAATAAAAAGCTATGAATGATTGTTTCAAACATGGTGCCCACATATGTATGTATGTACACACGGCCACACATACCTATACAAAACCAGTTTATCCTGGTGTCGCGTCGCATCATCTTTCCGCACATTTAACGTTCAGTTATACTGTTTATGTAAAGCTCGATGTATGGTGTAGTATGTACACGTACAATTTGGAATAATGGTACTATACAAAATCTTTGATTTTTTTTTATAAAAAGATTATTTTATTATTTTAAAGATTATTTTTACAAAAACATTGCCTACACTAGACTTGTCTCCTGTGGCGTGCATGCGGTTTTCTCCTGTATCGTTATCGTGGATGCGTTTATAAATATTAGAACACTCAACCAGACCCGAAACTAGAACTTAATGTGTATCAGAAGCTTCTAATAATGAACTTTGGACACAACTTATAATGTAAGTATGTAATTAAATAATAGTTCCTTACCGTCGAATCATGCAGCGTCTGACAAAGGCGGGCAGATTCGAGGCATCGATTTCGTCGAAATTATGGCAGTTCGACGGCGGCAACCTGTAATTTTGTAGTTATTACCAATATAAGATTCGTATTATTATGAAATAAAAGAGCCATTTTGACACTTAGCACATATACACTCGATTGTATTATTTAGTTTCATTAAAAGTCTTAATAAAGTTTAAATGAATTTTATTCTGCTTTACAAATATTTAACACCGCTATTCGATGCGCCGGCGTTGAGGCCACAGATAACGTCAACGTCACATGTCACCCGGTAGGGGGGAAAATTATCGAAAGTCGTGTAGAAAATTTAACAAGTGCGTTGTACGAATTAGCACGTAACCGTAGAAAAGGGTAGTTTCCTAAATGTTATTTTAATGTCCGTCTGGTAGAATATTTTAAACCTTAGACACGTATTTTTTTCTTTTCTCACAAAATTAAATGCTTTCGACGATATATTGATTCGAAATGTCTTGTGACGTCACAGCGTGCTACAAAATGTAGCACATTGTGACGTAACTACCTCCCACTCCTAAACTTAACTCCATTTTTATATACTATAGAGTATTGTAACTATATACGAGAAAATACAAAATACGTGCCTAATATTTTTTCATTATCTAACTGACTGACTAATTATATTTTTAATGTTCTTACCCTGGCAACTACCCTATTAATTTTATCGTGATTATGACGTGATCGACAAAAATGTATACAAAAAGAATTCGCCACCACCACCTGGTGGTGGTATAGGTCCACCTTCACCTACTGGCGTGAGAATAATTTGATAGACCGAATAATTTCAACCGACCTGGGTAACTTGTTTGGTCCATGTTGGTCACTAGGTACATCTTCTGGAAGGATCTGCTGTGCTCTTCTTTTTAAGGAAGTAGAGTGTCCTGTACACGTAAAATTAAAGAACAATTTAAAACGTGAATAAATAATTCTCTTAGCTAGATGTTTGTTTTCTTACTGATTCGATTTTGTAGGTATATAAAACGCACGGTGATGGGTGGGACCTAAGAAACCTATACAAATCAATAATTATATTTTTGAAACAATTAGAAAAGAGAAGATGTCCCGGAGTATAAATTAGTTAAAGTGATTCTTCTACTGTGGCCATAAACTCACAATAACACCACATCCACCAATTTTTTTTTGAGTGGATATAATCATCCACTGACTTCTCCCGCCCGAGAGAAGAGTGTCAGAGTGTCGGCGAGATAGTGTCAGACTCTTACTGACTAAATAAAAAGCACCCCGTTCCTAAGCCTGCACTTCGAGCCGGAGTCCCGGTAACCCTTTTAGTCTTCCACGGCTCCGTATCGGCATCAGCCCTTTTGGGCCCCGTCTGTGGTGGTCTGATGGCTCCTTAAAGCGCGCGCGGAACGCGAAGCGCCGTACGCTCGGGTCTGGTTCTGATCGAGCGGTAAGACACCCATTATGGTCTGTACGAGAGCTGGACGCGATAGGTCGCCATCGCCGATCACATCCCTGAGGACATGGCGGTGCTCAACACAAGCAGGGCACACCGCCACCGTATGCTCCATCGTGTCTTCCGGGCGGCCCTTGTAGTGATGACACCCGGACGTTTCCTCCCGCCCAATCCGAAACAGGAACGTACCGAAACTTTCGTGTCCGGTAAGCACCTGCATCAGGCGGTAGCGTAGCGTCTCTCAACTCAAGCCACTCCTCAAAGAGGGGACTTACCGCTGCAATGACCGCGGGAACAACCCCATGGTTGACATCCACCATCTACACTCTGATTTACCGTAAATAAATTCAAACTTTTATTAAACTTTTACGAATTTATTAAGAAAAATACTACTTACTTAATGATAAAATTTAGTTTCACACTGATATTGCGCGTGTACTCAAGAAACAACTTACCTGCACCATCATGGATCCTTCGACCTAGAATCTCAAAATCGGTCACCTGTTAATTGTAGGCACGAAAATAAAAAAAATATATCATTATTTTAGCCCGGGATTATACACTACTGGTCATAGGCCTCCACTATTTTTATCTTCCCATTTTGTAAAAATATTTCTTTTACTTTATAGGGAGAAGCAGAGCAGCAAACTAGTAAAGTGGTGACCGCGGTGTGCAATATGAGTGACACAGCCTTCATTATGTGAACTATGCCAATAGTTCACAAAATGAAGTATTACAGAATACTACATTGTGCTTGTATGTAGGTAGGGTATGTAGGATCGACTAATTAAAACCCAATTATATGCTACATTAGCTTTAAAACAAGAAATTGTGGTTTTTATTCGTTAATTACGGCTGTAGGTTGATCAATATTTAGAATGCTAGCTTTTCCAGCATATCTGCTTGTGTTTATTTGATAAATTAGTATCTAATTCTTATTTTTCTTCTGGTGCGCTGCTTCTTGAGATTATCTAGGTTTCCTTTATCGAAATCTATTAAGTGTTTAGGAGTCAAAATTCGAAATGGACATGTTTTTGGTTTATGATATCATGACAGTATATGAGTCTAATTCATTTCTAATATCAACCCATACCAATGTTGTCCTTACAGAATTTCACGCACATTACCTCTACACGAATGCAATTTAATACCTTAAAGGCTTTAATCGGAAGGTTGAAATCGTTGTTACAATAACCTTAATGGACGACGTCAGTGGTCGTTGTCGATTCGACTATACTACTATTAGTCCACAGGTGGATGGTGCAGTTAATAAAGTGGGTTTGGTGTAATTAATTTAATAATTTCCATGTG